ACGGACCCGGAAATTCCCGGTGATTCGGAAATGCAGTACAGCGCACCTGTGTATCCGATGACTTCATCTCAATAACCGGGGCTCTTTCTAAGCGAAGTTGAAAGAGCCACCTTTTAGGAGAGTATGCCGTATTTTTACCGCTCTCTGATTGGTTGCCGAGGCCTAGACCTGTTCTGGGACTTTCGCACTGAAAACAAAAGTTTCGGTTCAAGCACGATGATTCTTGAATTCGCCACATATTTCTTGTTCATATTGATTCAAGTTGAATTTCTCTACAGAGCGAAAAACATGTTTAGGTTCAGAAAAAAAGTGGCTCAAATTCTATCATCCTTGATTCAAGAAAAAAAATAATTCTTGGCGGCAAAAAAAAAATTTCTGTGAGGGTCCGATGCGTGGTTGCGGACTTACGTCGTCGTTATACATCTCGATCAATATATATTAACATTCGGTTTTTTTCAGAAGATGCACAAAGATTGCAAGATATTTGATAAATCAGCAGAACAGTTTTTTAAGTACAAGTCTTTGCGTAACGTACGATTTCTGTTGATTTAACCAAACATTTTGCTCACCAACTCATTCGTTTTAAAAATAAGAACAAAATTAGAAAAGATTTAACCCAAAGTAACCAAAAATATTGGCCTTTTTAATAGTGCGCGCGGGCAATTTTATGTCGGCGGAGGCAGTGAGCCCGCGCAGACTTCCACCTCGACGAGCGCGCCCCTCTTCGTTTGACTGAATGGACGGAGGAAGTTGAAGTTGCGGCGGGAATTATCGCCTCAAAGTGGCCTCGGCCGTTGGACTTTAAAGCGGTCAACTTGGAGGCCCGAGGAGACCGGACAGGGCTCAAATTCAGCCGAGGTCGCGGCTCCAAAGATCGCCGGCTCGGGTCACCGCCGAGTTTAGTATTGCGGTTCGCGACTCCAAACCCCCTCCCTCCCCCTACCCCTTCCTGTCGTAGACTTGTGGAGTAACTCGGTTTATTGAGTTGGAGTCACATTGATTTCTCCCGCCCGAATAGATGAACCCTCGAACTAAGTCTAGGAATTTTAGCTTCTTCCTCCATCTAGAAAAGCAATGACTCTGGGCACTATTAAGGGACCGTCCAAGTATTACGTCCGGAATTTTGGTTGACTTTTTTACACCCCCACGTCCCCCCTCCCAAGCCAGAAACCCTTTAAGTAACCTCTCGCCTTACCTCCTTTAAATTAAGTGGGGTCTACTCGAAGTATCCCCCCATTCATCCCCAGAGAATAGCGGAGAAAGCCTGAAAATAGCTGGAAAGATTCATTTTATTGTAGAACCAGGAGGTTGCGGACCTCCAAGCGCTTCTCTTTTTATATAGAATCCGAAAAATAAGTCGATAAATCAAACATTCCCGGCCAAACTTTGTAGACATAAAGTGGTCGATGGGCAAGAGTGAGGAACGGAAGTTCAAAGGTCAGAGTTTTATTAGAGCGAGTCTTTACTTTCAGAGGCATTTGTTTAGTCATGGGCAGCTATATGTGGCCGTCTCAAGGTCGACTTCCGAAGAAGGAATCAAAATACAGGGTAAGGAGAAAGTCATTAGGAACATTGTTCGGCGGAAAATTTTTCTTTGAAACATCTGTTTGCTCTTCAATGAAAATTATTTGCTCTTTAACCGCCTACGGGCGATTTCGACGATTTCGCTGGCGATTAGCCCCATATTTGAATATAATTTTATTATTACATTTCCGACGTGGGTGGCTTACGTAAGACCCCGCGTCCTTTCTCGTAAGAACGAGGAAAGAAAGGAAATGGATCCAAGCATATAATGCAAGTGAGATAACAGTTCCTCGTGGGAAAGTTCTCTCGCAACTTTTAAAGATCTAGTCACCCTTTTTTCCTCCTCAGATAAGTTGTGCCAGGAATAGGGTAGTAGCAATTTTACCGATCATTTATTTCCTCATCGGGGACGGGATTCCTGGACTGGAAGGCCGCAAGGAAGGAACGGGTGTCGGAGTGAAATATATTCCGCCCGGAAGACGTCGAGGTCGGAATGGGATCACGCAGGCAGCGAAGTCGGGAGATAAAATTCAGGGCTTGGAAATTATCCGGCGAATTAGACAAGGAAGATGAGATATTAATCGCGGTATTGATAAAAGCCATAGCCCGCCGTGGTCCCCGCGGCCATGCGGTCATGTGTCTCCTTCGGTGGAGGAATGACAATTGTGTGCGGAACGTGCTCGGTGGAGGGTGACCGATCGTGAGGGGGTTCAGGGAGCAGGGGCTAGGGACACTGCTGCCAATTTGCATGAGGCTGTTTCAGCGTCGAGGATAAGGACGCTTTTGCCCCGTCTTCATTTTATATAATGGGAAAAGCTAGGTTGTGGACGTAAAAGAAATGTGTCGTCCCTCGGACAAAAGAACATTCAACTTCATTTCAATATTACAGAATTTCCAATTTCAAATTGTACTTAAACTAGGCAACTGGAAGAAAAAGGGTGATGGATTAGTGCTGGGTCCACAATTTTCTGCAAGGAAAACAAGGCACAAAAATTCAATCAGAGTAAAATATTTTTGAATTGAATACTAAGCTGGGGGTTACGCTAAGAGATCTATCACGTTTGGGGTCTTTTTAGACTTCATCGGTAGATCTCATTCATCAGTGACGAAAGCTAGGAAACTGATAGATATTTCTGACTGAGGAAAGTTACTGAGTTCTCTTTCAATTAGTAGATGAGTTTCTCTATCGCTATGTACTATTGAAACCTCTTTGAAGTTCACATGAAGCAGAGTTTAGGGGACTTCACTCAAAATCCGCAATTTTGAACTGCAGTTATCAGAAGAAATTTGGCAACATCAAACTATCCATCAGCGGTTTTTTTTTTTCGTAGCATGGCTGCGAGCTACTTTTAATGTAATGAAATGTATGAAGAGCTTAACAAGTTCTACTGATCGAAGTTGTACAAATAGTGTGTTAAAATTCAGGATTGGGGCGCCTTCAATTTGAGTGATACTTCCAGCTTTACCGGAGAGTTAGTTTAGTTGCATGACCCAACTTAACCCAACTCTGACCGTGTTGCGATCGGTTCCCGAGCGAGCTTTGTGACCGTTCAGAATCATAAAACTCAGACATGCTCAATTACTGCAAAGAAACAATTTGTTCCAACGATCTGAAATTACTTTTTATGTATATTTTTCTTACAAGGAAACTCATCAAATTATTTTTCCCGAAGTTCTTCGTGAATTTGTATCACTTCGAAACCTTGGTAGGTAAATGCTATCTCGGCTCCTGGTTGATCGATTTTTGTGAAACTTGGCAGTTACGGGGTACTTTTTGACAGGAAACTCGAATTTTTGTAGACTCATCAAGTACCTCGGGTGGGGAGGGGGGGGGTGTTGGATGACACCACTGTAAATTGTGGTCACAGAGTTCGGGTTTCGTTTGTGCTCGTGTGATTTCATAGGTAGTGGAGGGAATGAGAGGTATCCCCCATAAATTCGATTGTTGATAGTCATCCCCCATATTGAGCTACGCTACGCCCCCAAATTGGATAAGCTCCGGGCTCCGGGATTCAACCCCATCTTAATGCATGCAGCGTCGTTTTGTTTTTGTTTTTTTACTTATATTATTTGATAGCTTAGTCAGCCTCAATCGGCATTCCAATGCTTACATAGATGGTATCCATGGATGGTATAGATGGATTCCATGGTATTGGTGTGCTTTTTAACACGATATGTTATGTTCACAAATTTCGGAATTGAGTTTTGACTCTTTCTATGCGTTTTATAGTTTCCTCGGTGTACCAAGGAACTTTCAAAGAAATCCCCGAAATTTTGCATCGGGGCGAACCCCCTCCCCCCCTCCACGAGGGTTCGTTTCGTGACAGGGGCGGCGAAGGCGGGCGGGGGTGGAGAGGTCGTGCTTTTGCGACCCCGCGATGAGTCTCGAGGCTCGAAAGGAAACGGGGGGGGGGGTGGGGGTAAGTATTGAGGGGGAAAGGGGTGGAATTAGCCCGCAGACCTGATCTATCACTTTATCTACGATGATGAACTAGGCTGGCGGTAACCGTGCAAATATTCCCGGGTCCCATCCCTGGTGGTCCCATACCGTGCGATCCCGAACTAAACCTCCCCCACCCCTCCTCGCACCGATGACACTGCTCTGGGTGGCGGTTCCCCGTTACTTCGTCGAAGATGAAAGCGTCTCCTTCCTGTGGCGCGACCATCTAAGGTGGCATAGACAAAACTATAGACAAAGAGGGCATAGGGAGTACGGAGCGATCCTATTGGTTGAAATGGGTGGTTCCTATAGAGTAAGGGAGGAAATGATGGACTATACTAACTATAGGGACTCCTGTGGGTTGTCGTTAGTTAGTCTATTACCTACCTCCTTTGTCCATTGCAACCACTCGCATCCACCAATAGGATCCATCCATATCATTGCTGTCTTCTTTGTCTATCGCTTTGTCTATCGAATTCAACAATCAGCCCGCTGGACTTTGACCGTGTCTTCTTGCGTATGGTTTTAAAAATATCATCGGGGCTACTCCTGACCGTTCCAGCTCCCCGGAGCGTGTGGCGTCTCATGCTGTATGCGTTCCGCGTACTCATATCGACGGTGTAAGTCCGGAACCATGTATCTCGGTTTGCGACGTGGCAGACTTCCGGTCATACTTCTTTTTTTAAATGGAAAACAACTCAATGACATTTCCTCAAAACTGCCGTGACTTTTCTTTCCTAAACCAAACAAATTCTTCGAAAAATTTAAGGAATGATGTCGTTTTGTTCTCCTTTAAAAAAGTAGAATAAGAGCGGAGATTTTCAAACACCGCAAACGAGATACGTGGTCGCGCTCTTACCCCATCGATATTCTAGGGTATGATCTAGGATTTACACAGAAAAGAATTGCGAAACTTGAATGAATATAAAGGAAAGCTGAAAAAATAGTACCATCGCTCCTAACAACAAATTGTTTGCTGAATCGTGTAATTAATGACGAATCAAAAAAGTTTATGTTTTTCTCTTTTCTGTTTCAGTTGCCTCAATCCTAGATCAGCTTATTTTTACGAATTTCCGCCCACTGGTAAGTCATGATTTCTATTCGTAAATTTTTTCATCATTTAAAATAAGTTAATCATTTTAAGGACAACTGTTGACTCATTTCTCAGTTCTTGAGGCTGACAGATAGCCTTTCTTGTCTTTTAAACATTGAACAAGTTATGGAAAAGTATCATTCTTGTCAAAGAACCATTCCTACCATTTCCATCAAATGCTCTCCATATTTTACACAAGTAATTTATGAATAAGCAAATGAAATAGCATATATAATGTCTCCTTCTTGCTGTTCATCTACACTTCAATTGACTCTTTTCAGACATTTTAAGTGCATAATCAACTCCTCATTCATCCAAGATCTTGGTAAAGTCATTCAGGTGGCTTCTAAGTTTGAGCGTTATCTTGTAAGCTTTAAACGCTTTAAGTTATCAAGTTTATTGAAGCTTTTTGACGTTGTATCGAGTTGCGCCAATGCGCTTGTAGTTAAGACGCCTCACTTACTATTTTAATTAGAAAAGTTAATTTAACTTTTCGGAGCCGCAATATGTTTGAATCAAAGAGTGACTCGGATTGCTCGTTGAGGGTCGTATTTTCTCATCCCAATTTTCCACCCCCCCCCATGCAAAATGAATGAACCTCTCTACAGCGTGTAAATATACAATACATTCTATTTGCCTTGAAAATCTGAAAATCCTGAAAATTGCGGGATCTGACTGTAAACTTCGAATGACAAACAGGCAAATTAGGCGCAAGAAACGTTGAGAGCAGCTGACATCGTAGACGTTAATCGTGTCGATAAATTTCGGCGGCTCAGCGAGGGCCCGGTGCAATTATCGTTTGGGTGCAATATTTTTGGCTTACTGTCGTGGGTAGGTGTTTTGCCTAAAGGAGAATTTCATACATAAAATTACCATTTCCAGCGGCTTCGACGTACAGAGCTCTCGAATCCCCTCAGTTTTTGTGGGGACGTCCCCTCCCTTTAAGTGTCCTCTCTGAGAATGTCTTACTCTATTGATCCGACACGACTGAGTGATTTTCGGCAGGTTTCAGCCCCGAAAATATTTCAATTCAACCCAGCCCAGGAAACTGATAAGTAATGAACAGTGTATAAAGGGCGTGATGTGATTAGGAACAAATTTTTCTTAGAATTGAAGTGTTTATGCGCAAAAAAGATGAACTGCAACAGACTCCCTTCATGCATTGATCCTTTCTTTCAACACGTACAAGTGATGAGAAGGACCTGAAAATGGACGGACATTGGAGATAACCATAATGGAGCTCTCGCATGTGTTAGGAATTTGCGATTAAAGTGTTTATTCACGACACATAATTCTCGCCAAAATACCAATTTTTAGACTAAGGCGCTTGAAAGATTCTCCGATTAGATATGACCATCGATTCGAACACATTATTTCCTGTTTAAAGCAAAAGTAATCCAGAATTTTCTCAAATTTTATAAAGTAAAGGCATTTCAACTCGCGTTGATGACGGCGCAGACATACAACTATTCGTGCTCGATGGATGTCCATGTTGCATCTGCAAAATTGAAGGCGCGCGATGGCGCGAAGCGTGAACTCTCAATGCTCCGCTCTGTGCTGCCCATGAAATGTCACTCAGATTCGGGAGGAAGTTAGAAAACTATGCCCGATTACGCCTCTCTGATCTTCGGTTGATTTGACTTTCGATTTTTTCTTCTTCTTTTTTCCTCTTCAATGCGGTGTCTAATTATATTTTAGGATGTATTTGTCGACCCATATCAAAACCTCGTATGTGCCATGGCACCGTCCCCATACAGCCTGCGGGGCACGTATTTTTAGTAAGCCTCGAGTCAAGCTGACCCCGCATGGGCAATGGGCATATGAGTGTTAAGGAGTACAATTTTTCGCTTTCGAAATTGCATTCTTTAGCACGCCGGCCAGTTGGCAACCACTTTGCAGAGCGTCTACCTACGGACGCACACTTTGGAATTGCTCCTCTCCGTTTTTCTTTTATTTCTAGCCCGGTCGTCGCCACCTTATGAATTGTAACGTTGCACACTTGCACAGTTGCCACAATATGCTCTTTATTGTTTCGTTTGCATCACACTTCTAATTAAATGATATGGCGGCCAGCCAAGATTCCCGATTGACTAAACGATAACTCTCGTCCGGGTAACTGCATGGAAAATTATTCTCGGTGTTTGTGAATTTCAAGACGAATGCGTTTATGGAAGGTAGGTCTTCGCACCTTTTGGAATGCTAAATGTCGTTCGTAAGACAACGTGCATTTGCCTACGTAGGTAGGAAGGGGAGAGCGAAAATTTCATTTTTTTTAATTCTGCTAAAACACTTTCGTTAATCCTAGAAAGGTCTTGAACCTTCCTCAGACAGCCTCGAAAACGGCGGATTTTTGACTTCTCGATAAACCTCGACCTAATTCCTCAGAGCTACGATGAACCCACGGTAAGTTTTAATCGCAACAAAGGAGTTTCTTAGTAAAAACTGTTTTTTTTTAGTGGAAGCTTTGTACTCTTCAACGGTGCGGTTCACCATTTCCGGTCGCACGACGGGAATACACGGTGGCGCCTGACTCCTCGCTCCCCATCGACGAGACTCGTAAGTTACTTGTTTAAACGAAGGAAACGGAGGAAATCGGGAAATCGAGAATCGAAAACAGAGGGAAGATGCGAATGCACAGTCGCCGTGTCGTGCCGAAAATCTGCACTTCCGTTGCTCGGCTCATCGTCAAAATTGCACATTTTGCGACGGAATCTGACAACGTTGCGCGGGTTGCTCCGTCTCCGGCCCCGACGCGTAGCAATCCCAATCGAGGTGTGTTTACCCTCCAATTCACGCAAGAGCCGAAGCAAACAAAATTTGAATAGAAATTACCTTTTTAGAATAAAAGTCGGTGACGTCATTTGTAGCTTTGCTGCCTCTTTGACGCCCCCCCCCTCCACCTCCGGGATCCGCTCCGATCGTCTGCCGTTTCACTTATGAACCGTCTTATCCCGCGCATCATTTTCCCACAGACCCTCCCATAACGTTGCCGATTTTGGCGGAAAATTCAAGCCGTTGTTTGCGGCGATAGAAAACTTGTAAGTGCAGAGAATCAAGAATGAAGGCTATTTATCGAGGCGAGAACGCCATGCTGTTCTTAAGTCGAAGACGTTATTAAATGAGTTACGGCAGAATGATTTCATCTGCTGAAATGCACAAGTTTCATGGAAATGCCTCTGTATGACGTCAAAGACCTGTAACTTTTCTTAATTCTCCATCTGTGTTCCTCCAATCTCTAAGATCAGAAATACACGGGCTAGTTGCAAACTTTAGCTGGAGCAAAAAGAAGAGTTGTTTCTTATCGATATATTTCTTCTATAAGAACTGTTGAAAATACACTATTGTATGATGCACATTTGAATTAAGAATGGAGAATTTGCATGCAAATGTTTTATTGCTTCATCTGAAAGTGCTTAAAAGGCTGATTTCGCAGTACTTTTCATAATTTTTTTCTGATATGGGAAATCGTATAAAAATAGATTTAGAAGTGAGAAAATGCACCGCCTAGTGACGTCATCTGGCGATATTTCCCATTCAAACAAACGTATGTTAGCAGATTAGATCATTTTGTTATATCTTCTCCAATAATTGTTCAATTCATGAAAGAAGGGTATCTTCGCGTTCAGTTCACTCAGTAGTATCCACTTAAACACGAAATTCATCAAATTTCGGACACCTGCAAATTCTCTATTCTCCCTTACTGGAGCAATGAATTATTTTGTCTAGAATTAGGATAAAAGTCGCACTTTCAATCTAAGTATGAATGTTTGACCGCTTGCCTAGGCATTCGACAAAATGCCCGATTTTACTATTTTCCTGCAACTTATTTACCATCCCTGTTTTCGGCAACCTTTTTGGCAACACGGTTCGTATCGTATTCGGAGCTCCTCGTGAGTTGCTTCGGTGTGTCCGGGTGCGGTGAAAGCCTGCTGCAGGAGGATTTCTTGAAAAATTCTGACACCCCCTCAACTGAGTGGCGGCGGCCAATCGAGCGTGAAATAACGATGCGGGAAATATTCGAATTGGAGGGCGAAGTGAGACGGACCTGGTGCCTGCTCCGATGATCATTGTTCCACCCCTAGAAGGGGCGAGGGGCCCGTAATAGGATGCGCAAATTGCATCGGCAGAAATCAAAATATGGTCGTGTTGCTTCAGCTTCAGAAAGGGATTTGCCGTGAGAACGGGTATATCGACCTGCAACCTGATTGTCGAAAGTTAGTGTTTGTCGGGTAGACATAGATGACATAGGTTGAAAGCATGGTGTCTAGTTTTTTATAACCCGGGGAAATCCGGGATTCATCAGGGAATGAAAATTTACCGGAAAAATCAGGGGAAAATTAGGGAATTTGTTCCAGAAACCGGGAATCTCTTCTCGAACCACCCAGGGATCATTTCGTTTTCAAATTTAGCGGTCTAATCTGACGTGCGCCAAAGAAATGGCTGTAAGATGAATTAAAATCGATATGTATATCTAAAACTCTGGAAAATTATATTCTTTTCCCCTAGAAAATCCCGGGAAAGTGGTAGAGAACTTGGGTTTCTCATCAGGGAATGAGCTCCTGAAAGTAAGGAAAAATCAGGGAATGAGCTTTGCCAAGAAAACTAGACACCGTGGTTAAAAGGCGGAGTGTGATTGGTCGGCCATGTCTTATCGCTGCTTTGTCGTGCCCATGTCGGGTGGATCTCACGACAAGCTAAAGGCAACTCTTAAATTTCCAACAGTATGTCGTCTATTCCACCTGACAAAGGCAGGATAAGGCAGCGATAAGACATAACTGACCAATCACGCTCCGGTTTTTGACACGTGTCATCTATGTCTACCCGACAAACACAAGATGTCAACAATCAGGCTGCGGAAGAGCGGAAGGAAGAAACTGTTGGTGTCGGAGACACAAGGCAAGTCCCATGTAATTCGGACTTCATTTTGTAATTAGGAACTACAATTTCTGCTGGCCAGGTTGGCCTAGTGGTCAGCGCGCGTGACTTTAGG